TTTCAAATTTAGTTCTTTAGCTAATGACTGATTGCCATCGAAACTTGCATCTTAAAAGTGCTTCAGTAGCCGTCGGTCAATCTGCCATTTCACCCACCTCTAGATCTTATCTCTCAGTATTAACAAATTTCAATTAAAAAAAAAAAATTATTCATGATTCCGATTAATTTCTCTTTACAAGACGAGCGATGACGAAGCAAAAGGTGGCAAGCACTTTTCATCACTTTTTTTTTCTTGATCGAAAAGTAAGGATGAGAGGAATTTTGTTCATTTTCTTGTTTACACTCAACAACACTGCCTTGTCTGTTTGTGAGAAATGAACACTGCTCGCTCATGAATCATCTCATCACCCTCCCCTCGCCCATTTCTTCGGTAATTTAGAGAGAGAATGAATGAATGAATTTATTTGTCCACAAAATGTATAGAATCAGAAAAAACAAGTAAGCTTCGCAACAGTTCTCCCTTTTACATAGGTTTACAGCACAGTACCTGTACATGAAGGTAGTCGAGTCCTCCAGGACAATGTATATGCGCCGAAAATGTGATATGTGGTGATATTTTGGCGTCAGAGACTAAGAACGTTAGTTGATAATTTAAAATTCTTTAATTTCTTCGCCAAAATATGCGTCAGAGACTAAGAACGTTAGTTGATAATTTGAAATTCTTTAAATTATCAACTAACGTTCTTAGTCTCTGACGCCAAAATAACACCCTCCTTCTGCTCCATGACAGGATAACCAACTGTCTGATAACCCTCGCCTTTTGGCCGATTCTTGCATTCGAGAACGTGTAAACCGCACGGTAACGGAACTATCCAATCGCAGTCCTAGAACGGAGAAAAAAAGTTATCTGGCTTCAACTGCAAGACTTACATGATACTTGAGGATGTTTTTTGATTGCACCACTGCAATCAAAACGAAGACGAAGAAGCCACGTAGATTCATGGCCGGAACGAATAAATACTCAGAACAGCGAAAGGATAGAGCGGAAATAAGAATCACAAGCATTTTTCGTCTTTTATATTGTCTCCATAAAAGGAGCTGATTCAGTGCTTGCCACCTTTTGCTTCGTCATCGCTCGTCTTGTAAAGAGAAATTTATCATAATCATGAATCATCTTTAAAATTTATCAACATAAAGGAATTAGTCATCACTATTTGTTTCAAAACCCTTTGCAAACTTCCTTGAGTAACACACATGATCACCATTTTTATATAAATATACATATATATTGTGGAGCTTTGATCATAGCTGATGTAATTATTATCTTGTTAGTGATGTCTAATCTGGTGATGGCCATGTGTATGGATCCCGGCATTCATCTTTCATAGACCAGTAGTTGATACATAAAAATTATTATTGATCTTCATCACATTAGATGTAGATTGTTTATCAGCTTATAAATATTCTTTTCTCAAGAAGCACGTTCATCTCTCCAAGTGGCATGAATTATTAAAGTTTGAAAAAGAGTTCAAACAAGCTCAAGAATCTTCAGTTAAAAAAATGATCCACGATCAAGCAAGAAAAATAATAAAGTTGTTGACGGATGCTTCTTTTTTCGTCGTCTATACCAACTTGTTTGAGCAGTGTTTCAGCGTGCTCAGGAAAATTTCGACTTATCGGGATCGTAGAGTGGAAGACATAGAGGTAACTGTGAAGATCGTTAAATAAATTCGATTTTATTATTTTCCAGGATTCTTGTCGAGTTCACTTTGCAACGAAGTATGGCCCTGACGTGAAAATCACATTCCACCCTCAAGAAGAAGGAACTCGGTCCGGGTGTATTTGTTTGATAGAGGATGGACCTATTACAACCAAATTTTTCGTGAAGACCCATCATGGTGCTGGAGATCGAATGAGCGGTAAGTTTATTTGGAATTCTCATGCGTATTTTTCTCCCTCTCGCGTATCAGCCCAAGCTTTTGCCTGACTAGCCTTTGACTTATTAAGCCTTCTGAACTAGTCTAGCCTTATTTTATAAAAACAACGGGAGGAAACAACGAATGACAGCCTTTTATGTTATATTTGTAATTTTCTGAAGTAAAAGTTCTCCAGCTGCACGATTCGATATTGACTTGCGAGAACTTTTCGTGTACAAGTTCCTGGACAATCTTAAAAAAGGTGCCAAGATCCAATTCATTGACAATGCTTCTTTCTCAAGATGGATGGTATACATCGGAAGCCGAGAAATACCAGAGTTTAAAACTCTCCATCACCTTG